AAAAGTATTTTAGGGGTTCCTCTGGGGTAAAACATTTGAGAAAGGCTGTTATAGATGGTAGACATCAGGTATGTGCATAGATTGCCAAATGCCTCACGTACAATCCACAGGGATCTTTTGACACCTCCCTAGTTAAGACCTCTGTTGCAGAAGCCACAGCTATATATTAACCAAAATTAGGTTATAAGGTTCACAGAGAAACACAACATGGACATCGACCCTTGAGATCTCCCCTCACCTTCATGGTAATGTTTACATGCAACCTCTTAAGAAGTAGTTCAAAGGAGTCACCAAAGGATTCCATAGCTGGAATGTTCCACTTCTATGCTAACTAGAAAATGCTCTACGTAATACGAGGTCAGGAGAGCACAAACGTGCCGAATGAGTGCCCTGCCAAGATACATCGATATGGCTGTGAGAGGTCGAGATCATGTTCAAAGACCACAGGCTCAACCAGGGTTCCTTCAGAGGTTGCTAGGGGTTCCTCGAGCTGTTGCTGATTGACCTCCCATTTGATGGTGCCTGAATAGGATCAGGGCCAACTCTACTTGGCAAAACCAGCAACATAACACCCACGATCATTTTAGCTGTCTGCAAGGGTTGCATTCTGACCAGCACTGTAATGATTGCATTTTTCCTACTGACCACCAATGTAGGGGGCATATACCATATTGACGTGATGAATTCGATTTAGTATAGGTTCCCTGAAACTTGAAAAGTATTTTAGGGGTTCCTCTGGGGTAAAACATTTGAGAAAGGCTGTTATAGCTGGTAGACATCAGGTATGTGCATAGATTGCCAAATGCCTCACATACAATCCACAGGGATCTTTTGACACCTTCCTAGTTAAGACCTCTGTTGCAGAAGCCACAGCTATATATTAACCAAAATTAGGTTATGAGGTTCACAGAGAAACACAATATGGAAATCGACCCTTGAGATCTCCCCTCATGTTCATGGTAATGTTTACATGCAACCTCTTAAGAAGTAGTTCAAAGGATTCCACAGCTGGAATGTTCCACTTCTATGCTAACTAGAAAATGCTCTACGTAATATGAGGTCATGAGAGCACAAACGTGCCGAATGAGTGCCCTGTCAATATGGCTGTGAGAGGTCGAGATCACGTTCAAAGACCACAGGCTCACCCAGGGTTCCTTCAGAGGTTGCTAGGGGTTCCTCGAGCTGTTGCTGATTGACCTCCCATTTGATGGTGCCTGAATAGGATCAGGGGCAACATTACCTGGCAAAACCAGCAACATGACACCCATGATCATTTTAGCTGTCTGCAAGGGTAGCATTCTGACCACCGCTGTAATGATTGCATTCTTCCTACTGACCACCAATGTAGGGGGCATATACCCCATTGACCAGATATAAAGTCAACCTGTACTTTTCCACTGCCAGGAAATTAACATTGAAGAAGGAACAGTAGCAGCCCTCACATTTCATCTATGACCAATTTGTCAATAAATGCATAACTAGATTAAAGAGTCAGCCCACCCAAATGTTATATTTAATTCTAGACTTAGTCAACCCCTAGCTTCTTAAAAGTCCTGGTAATCCAACAGCACGATCTCTCAAACCCAGGGGCCCATCCAGACTTGTTCCGTTGCATTAACGCGCATGCTTTATTTTCCCATGTTACTGTGCATTGGATTGGAATAGTGCAGAGGCCTGTGAAAGCAGCAACACATCCAAAAAATGGACATGTACCATTTTTTGAAAAACAGTGCAACACAAAGCACCGCAGTGTGTTACCGTGCGTTGTGCTGCACTGCAACACATGTGATTTGGAGTTGCGCTGACTTTTTGGGTGCCACTCAAAATGAATGGCCAAAAACTCTTTAAAGCATGGTCCAATGTGCTACAACAGGGGGAAAAAAATCCTTCCTGATCCCCTAGCAGGGGTCTCCAAACTAGGGCCCTCCAGGTGTTGAGGAACTGCAGGTCCCATGAGGCCTTGCAAGACTCTGATAGCCACAGGCAAGACTCCCAGAGGCATGATGGGACTTGAAGTATTTCAACAGCTGGAGGGCCATGGTTTGGAGACCCTTGCGCCAAGGCATTTACAAACTCCCTAGATCAACAATCTCTAAATGTTCTGGACCTTCACCCACGTACACATGTTGCTTGCATTCCACTTCTCCCATCCTTGTTCTTTTTGTTTACCATGGACGTCATTCGCTCGAGCAGTGTGCCCGAGCTGACAGGGAGGAAGATTGTTTGTAAACAAAACAATCTTCCTCCCCATCGGAGATGCTCGGGAATCACTGGGCGCCGGCGGGTAATTACCGGCCAGTTCTGAAGGACCCTGCCAGGAACCGAAGACCAGAGAGAGCTCTTCGGCATATCTGGGCACATGCGGCAGTGCGGAAGGGGGGGTTGAAGCAAAGCCACGAAGAACAAAGCTGAAGCTCCACTTTAAATAAAAACATTTAGTGGTGTTTAATGAACACAGAGCTGCGTTAAACTGTGTCTTTGATATCTGCCTGGAGTTTAGATATAAATCTCGAATACAGATTTTGTTTTTATTGATTTCATATGGATGGAAGTAACAATACAGGAATGAGAAAAAGGCAGCTACAATGAAAATATCAGTGGTAATCCATCTCATTTGCCTCTATCAACACTTCAACACTGATTGCACTTAAGATTTCATTCATTGATGGCGCCCACACACTTCAATCCAATTGCTAGATAATCCCATCATTTCAATACCCCATTTCCATCTCAGAAACATTGAAGCGTCTGTGGGTGTTCTTCAATGACTCCAATCGTTTTTCATTATTTAGGTCAATTTTAAAAAGCAGAAATTGGATTTGAAACCTTTCATATGCTTTTGTGATAATGTAACTTGTAATAAATTACATTTTTATTTATAGAGTAGGAAATATTCCTTTAACTTCATTGGAAAACAGTAATAATTCTCTAACAAGTTAATATGTTTCTTAACTAAAGCAAAACTGATGTATGCATAGGCAGATGATGCCATGAAATAGCAAATTAAACCATACCAGAAATTTTCATCATATCGGTTGATAGAATGATTTCTGATTGGCTGATATGAGTTATAGCATTTTGCATTGCTCTTTGTGCTGTCTTACTAATTAAACCAGAGGGGATATGTTGGAAAAACTGCATTATCCAAAGACTTTTCCCAAGCCAATAGAATTCCATTGCAATGTCCCAAGCCCAAAGAGTTGCATTCTGGTGCCCTAAGCCCAAATAGATGACTTGTGTTGCCCCAAGGCCAAAGAGTTGCATTGCATTGCCTCAAATTCAAAGAGTTGCATTGTGTGTTGCCCCAAGTCCAGAGTGTTGCATTGCTTTGCCCCATGTCCAAAGAGTTGGACTGGATTGCCCCAAGTCAAAAGAGTTGCATTGCGTTGCCCCATGCCCAAAGAGTTGCATTACATTGCCCCAAGCCCAAAAAGTTGCATTACATTGCCCCAAGCCCAAAAAGTTGTATTGCGTTACCCCAAGCCGAAAGAGTTGCATTTCATTGCCCCAGGTCCAAAGAGTTGCATTTCATTGCCCCAGGTCCAAAGAGTTGCATTTCATTGCCCAAAGGTCCAAAGAGTTGCATTGTGTTGCGCCAAGCCCAAAGAGTTGCATTGCGTTGCCCAAAGTCCAAAGAGTTGCATTGCATTACCCCAAGCCCAAAGAGTTGCATTGCGTTACCCCAAGCTCAAAGAGTTGTATTGCGTTACCCCAAGCCCACTGAGTTGCATTTCATTGCTCCAGGTCCAAAGAGTTGCATTGCATTGCCTCAAGTTCAAAGAACTGCAATGCGTTGGCCAAGTCCAGAGAGTTGCATTTCATGGCCCCAAACCAAAGAGTTGCATTTCATGGCCCCGAGCCATAGAGTTGCGTTTCATGGTCCCGAGCCAATGAGTTGCGTTTCATGGTCCCGAGCCAAAGAGTTGCGTTTCATGGTCCCGAGCCAAAGAGTTGCATTTCATGGCCCCAAACCAAAGAACTGCATTTCATGGCCCCTAGCCATAGATTGCATTTCATGGTCCCGAGCCAAAGAGTTGCGTTTCATGGTCCCGAGCCAAAGAGTTGCGTTTCATGGTCCCGAGCCAAAGAGTTGAGGTGACTTTTACACAGGGCAGATAAAATACTATGTTTAACCAGACCTAATCATATTTTGTTCTTTCCACCCCTCCAGTATCATCAAATATTTTTCAGGTTAATATCACTACAGTTTTTCCATGCGTGTCTGTCACTATAACGTCCATAATTGTTATCTAGGGATTTGCCATATTTTTCCTAAACATCTTGTAATGATTACAGGGAATGGGGGGACATGGCTACCCATGCACAAAGCTCAAACACCATTAATAATTGAACACTTCTCAATATGTAACCTGTCACCCTGTGCCTTTACTGGAAGGAGAGCTTTGAAACTCTTTGCCCTGTGCGGCAGACCAGTAGAAAGTGTAAGCGAAGCGAAGGATGAATCCTGGCGTTAGTATCATGTTCTCTGAGCGTGATGGGAGGAGAAGACGTGGGGTTATTCTAAATTGTACATCTCACTTTCTTGGCTGTAGGGCCCCATAACTTCATTTAAAAGAATGAAATGAGATTACATTTGAGGTTTAGAGGATGAAATTGTTCCAACTTTTTGTATATTCAAAGAATGTAGCATTAAAGTGTTACTAAACCCACAACAGTAAAATCAATAAAGCGTGCTTGTTATGCTCACTGTGGAACATACTGTGGGAGATCAGATATAGTGAATGCAGGGTCCGGGAAGACCAGATATAGTGAATGCATGGTCCGGGGAGACCAGATATAGTGAATGCGGGGTCCTGGGAGACCAGATACAGTGAATGCAGGGTCCGGGGAGACCAGATATAGTGAATGCGGGGTCCTGGGAGACCAGATACAGTGAATGCAGGGTCCGGGGAGACCAGATATAGTGAATGCAGGGTCCTGGAAGACCGGATAAAGTGGATGCAGGGTCCTGGGAGACCAAATATAGTGAATGCAGGGTCGGGGGAGACCGGATATAGTGAATGCAGGGTCCGGGGAGACCAGGTATAGTGAATGCAGAGTCTGGGGAGACCAGATATAGTGAATGCAGGGTCTGGGGAGACCAGATATAGTGAATGCAGGGTCCGGGGAGACCAGATATAGTGAATGCGGGGTCCTGGGAGATCGGATACAGTGAATGCGGGGTCCGGGGAGACCAGATACAGTGAATGCAGGGTCCGGGGAGACAAGATATAGTGAATGCAGAGTCTGGGGAGACCAGATATAGTGAATGCGGGGTCCTGGGAGACCAGATATAGTGAATGCAGGGTTCGCGGAGAGCGGATATAGTGAATGCAAGGTCCGGGAAGAGCGAATATAGTGAATGCAGGGTCCAGGGAGACCAGATAAAGTGAATGCAGGGTCCAGGGGAGACCAGATATAGTGAATGCAGGGTCTGGGGAGACCATATATAGTGAATGCAGGGTCCAGGGAGACCAGATAAAGTGAATGCAGTGTCTGGGGAGACCAGATATAGTGAATGCAGGGTCTGGGGAGAGCAGATATAGTGAATGCAGGGTCCGGGGAGACCAGATATAGTGAATGCAGGGTCCTGGTAGACCAGAAATAGAGAATGCAGGGTTCAGGTTGACCAGATATAGTGAATGCAGGGTCCGGGGAGACGATATAGTGAATGCAGGGTCCGGGGAGACCGGATATAGAGAATGCAGGGTCCGGGGAGACCGGATATAGTGAATGCAGGGTCCGGGGAGACCGGATATAGTGAATGCAGGGTCCGGGGAGACCAGATATAGTGAATGCAGGGTCCGGGGAGACCAGATATAGTGAATGCAGTGTCCTGGTAGACCAGAAATAGAGAATGCAGGGTCCAGGTTGACCAGATATAGTGAATGCAGGGTCCGGGGTTTAGTAACACTTTAAAGTAAAAGAAGTAAACTAAATCTGACCCATGATATGAAACCTCTATAATTTCCCATTTGCTGATTAATGGAATAAGATGTTACATTTTTTCTAAATGAGGCCAATATAGCTAAACTGTTTTAAATGCCTTTTAGCCTCGTGTACACATATAAACCCTCAGAAAAGGAGGTGTCATGATGTTGACATTGTGAGAATACAGGGTATCCATATACATTTACGAGGATTGAGCTGTGGGATATAACATACGGGAGCTGGAGAAGGTTGAACTCCATGCACTGTGTAGTGAAATTGAGCGTAACAAACGGCAAAGGTATACAAGTGTGGACAGAAGGGATTATATAGAATGATGGTGTCCATCACCCTTCACCTGTATCTGCTGCATGCTTCTCAACTCTACAATGTGTTATTTCTGTTATATCTTCCTATGCAAAATGTTTTTTTTTTTTAAATTAATATTGTTAGAAAACATATTATTAGTATTAAAGGAAATATTTTAGCTTATGCCAAATTGATCATCACACAAAAAATAAAATAATAATAAGATGCTTTAAAACTAAAACTTGGGGCAGAAAACGATGGGAAATCTTTATTTGGGTAAAGCCTATGTTACTTGTTCATTTTGTTTATTAGTTTTGTATGAAATAATGACTTTGCTTTACAATATCAGAAAAGGGTATGCAAGCAGAGAAATCCCACCTGGGCATGTCATGGGTTGGGTTAGTTTAAGGGTTGGGCCCTTCTAAACCAAGGTTGGAAGAGTTACCGAGCGAGGTTGATGGGAAGAGACAGCCTACAGAACATCATCATGTAGGGTTTAGTCCAAGTGAAGCACGTCCTTTGGGGTTTTTCCAGTACATGCCCTAATTACAGAACGCATCTAAAGGAACCTACAGCTGAGGAAGGTGGACGTGCTGGGTGGCATCCTCATGTTAAATTTGAGTTTGAACTGTACAGAAATGCTAATGTCAGGTGGAAGGGGGAGGAAGTGTATTTGCGTATTGCATTGCAATTTGCAATTGACATTGTTAATGTCATAGGAAAATATTGAAAAGGCTGATCATCGTGGACATTCCTTTATTTCTGGAGGTGGGCCTCTGGCTGGGAGCCTGTGAGGAACCAAGATAGCGGAATCCCTCCATTCTCCAGGTATGTGGTACCCCATCTCCTTCCTGTTGAAGGAGGATGGTGGGAGGAGCCCTTGACCAGCATGACCATTGCTGGCAGCGAATCAGGGTCATGCTTACAGGTAGTAGGAAGTAAGACATAATGCAAAGGGCTTAACAAATTGTACAGCGTTTTTAATCAGATAACAGAAAACAAATATTAAGTATAAAGGATACCACTTAATGTTCTGGGTTTATTGTTGGCAGGGCCGCTGCTTCCACCAGGCAAACTAGGTGGCCGCCTTGGGCTTACTGCCACCTAGGGGCGCCTGGGCACAGCACAGGCCAGCACTCGCTCTGTGTGGGATGCCGCCACGTCATGAATGATCCTTCAGCTGAGGATGTCTGAGTTGTTTGGGGCAGCTGACCTGTTGTTTCTTCCAGTGTTCCTCTCAGACCCAGTCCCTTACTGCAAGCTGGCTGGCGGCTGCTGATCACTGTGGAGTTCCAGCCCTTCTCTTTCCATTCGTCAACACAAGCGGAGTGGAGCCTGCTGAGGAAGGTAATGTCTGACTTTGATGTCTCGTGTCTGTGTCACCCCGGCCAGCCGGCCATACATCACATATGCGATGTGTCATTGAGTGATGACATCATCACGATCCCCCAGCCTGCTCTTCTAGTGCCTGCTAAACTGTGTCAGTGTTGGAGGTGGTGTGTTGTGTCGGATCGCTCAGTTCAGGTGTCCTCTGTGTGTGTAGGGGGGGCTTGGCTGCCTACTGTCACAGCATTTTACCTCCCCCATTGCCGGGGGAATTCCATCCTGGGATCTGTCAGAGTGTGGATCCATTATCCTCCACTCACTGCAACTGTCACCCTGCCACTGCCGGCCACAGATACAGTCCATCTGTGACACCGATTTTGTCTTTAATATTGTTGCTGGTGGTATTGTATGGCACTTATTTTTGCAAACATTATTTTTTTAAGGGGGGGGGGGGCGCAAGTAGCTGGTCTTGCCTAGGACACACAATAGTCTAGCACCAGCCCTGATTGTACAGCTGTGGTAGGGTGAACCATGGGTGATTTGAGGGAAAGTCTATGTTTGCTTAAAGGGTAGGATCAAGGAAGGAGATGGCGAGGTATAGACCTATTAAGACTTTCCAAGTATACGAGAAAGAAAGGATGGGAGTCTAGCATGGACAGGGGTAAAGGAGAAAGAGGTGTGGGATGGGTGCTTCCAATGAACACACTCCCTCATGCGGTGCCAGGTCTTGGTCAAATCCTTCTGGAAGAAACTTAGAGCACCAGGGCTGCCATATGAGCAGGTACTTATTCATTTTCTCAGTTAATGTTGCCTCAATTTTTTCATGTAACATGACTAAGTTCATTCTAGACTTGGTTTCAGCCAGAGAGAGGGTAGATGATTTCCAGACCTTGACAATTGTTTGTTTAGCTGCTGTAAGGGCATGTAGGAGGAGTCTGAACTTTTTGGGGGAATATCTGGAGGTTTGAGATTTAAGAGAGCATGTTGAGCTAGGAAAGGGATCGAGGAGTGCATTAGCTCGGTGATCATCTGAAACAATTCCTCTCCAAATTGCCATGCTAATGGCCAGTTCCACCATATCTAGAAAAAGGTCTTCATTTGTACACAACCTCTAAACCAAAATGGCGGGTAACTTGGTGATGTGGGTTAGTACTATACAAATGTGTTAAAACTTTATAGTAAGTTTCAACTGCCAATACATTACAAGAGCAATTTTTTGTTGTCTCCCAAGCATAGGATAAATCATGTGTATCCAATCTCATCCTATATCCTCAGATCATTTTTGTGGATATTTATGGGGTTTCTGTGAGGAGGGTGTTAGGAGCGAGGAATATATAGGTACACTCACCAGCCACTTTATTAGCTACACCTGTTCAACTACTCAGTAACACATAGCAGCAACTCAATGCATTTAGGCATCTAGACATGGCAAAGACGTCTTGCTGAAGTTCAAACCGAGCATCAAAATGCGGAAGAAAGGGGATTTCAGTTACTTTGAACATGGCATGGTTGTTGATGCCAGAGGGGCTGGTCTGAGCATTTCAAAAACTGCTGATCCACTGGGATTTCCACGCACAACCATCTCTAGGGTTTACAGAGAATGGTGCAAAAAAAGAGAAAATATCCAGTGAGCGGCAGTTGTTTGGACGAAAATGCCGTGTTGAGGTCAGAGAAGAATGGGTAGACTAGTTTGAGATGATAGAAAGGCAACAGTAACTCATGTCCACAATCTCTGAGGAATGTTTCCAACACCTTGTGGAATCTATGCTATGGAGAATTCAGGCAGTTCCAAAGGCAAAAGAGAGCCCAACCCGGTACTAGCAAGGTGTACCTTTATAAAGTAGCCAGTGAATTTATTATGGAGATAACCCTCGATGTGTGACGAGTAACATCTTTGTTCAAAGGACGTGAGCACCAGGAAACCTTATAGTTTGTAAAAGTTAATTTGTAGGGAATGTTTAATCTGTAGGCTATGAAAAAGTTTGCTACTTGGGAGTTTGTTTTCCTGTTGTGTATTTTGGAAGGGTCTTTGAGTAGGCCATGTACTTGAATGAGGTTTATAGAGGACCACTCTTTGAAGGCCATTGGAGCTTGAAAACTTGAAGGGAATGAGGAGTTGTAGACAAAATGGGTTTACTAGGAGATTGCAGAGTTGCTGAATATTTAACTGTGTCCTAAACTAGTAGTGTGAGTTTTGTAACAGGGTTGGACAATCCAGTCAGTCAGAAGAACTGAGCCAAAAAAGGTTGACTAGTAGAGAGTCACATTCTATGGCCTCAAGAGCTACCCATAGGGGTGTTTCGTGTGCAGTGTGATATTTACAGATTTAGGCTATTTGTGATCCAAAATAGAATTTGTGTAGGTGTGGTAAACCACGTCCTCCTGAGTATAGGCTTTGTGTCAGAGTTTCCTTTTTTAGGATAGGTCTAATTTTGTGCAATACACATTGAGCAATCTTTAGTGATTGTAGATTGTGGGACGGGATGGTTTTTGGTGGAAGACGAAAGTTGTATAACAACTTGGGAAGGTAAATCATCTTGATGGCTGCATACTGTATGTCTTAAAGAGGAACTTCTGTCCACTTTAGCTTTGCCTCTGTCCCCACTCCAGTACAGGCATCGTTGCTACTCTGGAGCCTGCACAGATGTGCTGAAAGGTTCTCCAGTCTTTGGGTCCCAGCAGAGCCTCACATCTGCTCATGCGCAGGACGGTCTCCATGCATCTTCAGACAGAGTAAGATTTGGGACCTCCGTACTGCTCCATCTTTATGCGTACACAGGACACTAGTATGCTTAGATGCGATGCAGGGCTCTGCCAGGACCCAAAGCCTAATCTTCTAGTGGGTACCAAACATTATTCTTGCCTAGGCAAGAAAGACAGAAGTGCTGAGTTGCAGCACAAAACTACTATACCTGTGACGGGAGTGACTTTGTGTGGGGGGCCCATGGAACCCAGCTCACTTTGGAGAGGTGGGGAGACCCCTGTCTCAGCTCCCCATATCCCTCTTATGTGTACGTCACCCTATGCCTGTTAAGGGTACAGGGTGATCTGTCCTAATATTGTGTAGACATGTCTAGGAGATAGGAGGGGTGGGGGTTGTGGATTGTTTAATGCCATGTGGTTGCATCCCGTTGTTCTATTGTGTCTTGCTTGGGAGCAAACTATTATGGGATGTATGTGTTTATGTGTATTGGCTTCGTGGGGGTGTCTCCAGCAGCCCTCTCTCCTGATGGGACTGTCTGCTGCTGTGTCTCTTGTTACTAAATGTAGATTGCCCACCCTGTGTCATTATGCATGGAGGGGGGATTGTTCCCTTGAGTGTATATATCTTGTATCTGTG